GGACTCTAGAAATTAATAATATAATATAACAAAATAATAATAGGTGTAATTTGAAAAATAACAGAGAAACCTGAAAAGGGGTGCAGGTTTTCTCTGTGTGTTAGCCATTCGACAAACGTGTATCGCGAACTACTTTTAAAGGCCCAGATGAATGATGGGTGCTGAGCAACAGATCCAGATAAGACAGAATCCTTAACGCCACAGGCTCGGACTCTGCAATTGGGTGGCCTTGGGCAAGTTAATCAACTTTATTGGATCTCCTTTTCCTCATGCATGAAATAATGGCTCAAAAAAGCACCTAAAGTCCCTCCTGACTAAGAAATTTGTATGATACTGTGTTGAACATCAGTAGTAATTTTAGCAAAGAGGTAGGTTGCAAATAAGCATATCATCAAAAGCGCCAAACTTTTTCTTAAATATCATTCTTATCTGTTCAGAACATTCTTGTGCTGTTGTTGTTATTGTTGTTAGGTGTCGTCAAGTCAGCTCCACTTCATAGGGACCCTACGTACAATAAAACAAAACACGGCCTGGTCGTGTGCCATCCTCCCAGTGGTCCTTATGTTGAAGCCCATCAATGCAGCCACTGTGTCAATCCGTCTTGCCTCTCTTTCCTGATGCCCCATGCCCTGGCCAAGGCATGTCCCTTTCCAGGGACACACTTCAGTTTTTCAGACCATTTCACTCACACTGTCTGTCTAAAGTACCACGTATTCCAACAGCCACTCCTCTCCCACAAAGTCTAAATTCTCTCACTCGCTTACCAATTCTCACGTCACCATGAGATCAATTTCTATGCAAGCAAAACAGTCAATGTACCCGGGACTCTAAACTCCAGCCACACTGTCACAGAATTTTGTGGGGAAAGAGTAGGCATATTATTTCAGTAAACATTGTAAAAGCTTTCCGTAACATAACCAATTTCTGTTTTTGGTCTCTTAAAGTCAAGAAAATGATGTTGTTATTTGGCAAGATCAAAATACAGAAATAAATTCATTTGCAAACAGCCCTTCCCACACAGATATTAGGTTGATTTGGAACATGAAAACAACATAATTAATTTTGAAACCTTTCAAACAAATTCAAATATAGAGGTTTCCTTAATTATCTTCTTTTTTAAGCAACTGAAAAGTTTAAGAACATTAACTTTCAAGAAAACTTTTCCACTGATCTATTTTACAGTAAACAGGAATAGTCTCAAAACTGGACTTTGTTGACTTCTGTGTCAAATGAAAACTTTTTGCTTGGACTGAGCAATAGCAAGCCCTCTTATTTACTGGGAGAGAATTCTCTACAACAAAATAGAAAATGTGGTTGTGTACTTGTAATTGCATACTCTTCACAGGCAGCAGCATTAATCTTGGGACACAATACATAAGCCAAGTTCAATGAAAAAAAGTTAATTCTAAGAATGGTGCTTTACTTTTTTATTGCTTAAAAGCTGAAAAATATTGTGATTTAGTCTTTAGAATCACTGGATCAAAGTCTGATGGCTGTTTCAAGTCCTGGTATAACCAAGGGGAATAATTTAGTATAGATAAATAGGAATTAGAAACAATTAGAAAGAACTCAAGATGTAAAGATGTGTATCCAGGAAAAGCTCTTCAAAGGTAAAGCATTTATTTCTACATACTGCGAACAAATCTAAGTAAGTACTGTATAGATGAAAATTAAGGTGATTGAATCCCAAACCTAGACGACATAACTCAAAACACGGGGGGCTAGAGTGAGTGCCAGTATCTGGTTCATGGCAAACGCATTAAAATGGTGAACTACAGCCACGTGGGAAGATCTGCTGCTTATGTGATTGCCAAACAAAGAATAAGTGATAGTGAAACAGACATCTAAGTAAAGCTCTTGATTTACTTAAACTTGTCACATACTGAAAAATAGTTTTTCCTAAATAGCACTGAAGATAATAATTTTTTAATGTAATTGAAAATACTTCCCAAAAATATGAAAACTTGGGACAGGGGTTAAACAAAATCTTCAATGCCATAAAGCACATTCCAACTCACAGAGACCCCATAAGCCACAGTGGAACTTCTCCATAGGCTTTCCAAAACTGGACATCTTTTTTCAACAGTTCTATTGGCCTGTAGTGCACATATACGAAGTCAGTCGTTCAATCATATTAGAAGAGTCAGACAATCATCTCCACGGTCCATTTCAGAGCATTTTCTTCTTTTTTGCACTCGTTGTCATCAGCTCCCCATGTTCCCTCAACCTCCCTTGCCACACCCTCCAAGAAACCATCCATGCAGTCCCTGTCTCTGTAGCTTTACCTATCCTGGATGCCACATACAGAAAAACATACAAAAAATAAAATTTAAAAACCCACTGCACTCTGCGTGAGAGCAAGTTGATTCACCTCCCTGGTCTGTGGTCAGAGGGATGCACGTGTCACTGGATCACTGAATGCACTGAATTCAGGCCTCAGCACCAGAGTAAGAGAGCGGACATACAAAGAGTGAACATTCCATCGAATGTAAGAAAGAAGTAAGAAAGTCCGCTCTCTTACTCTGGTGCAGGATCACTGAATGCACGTGTGAGGCCTGCAGACGGATCTGGGTTCACACTGCCATCCATAGCCTTCAGGACAACTCGATGTCATTCCCTCCTCTGGATTTGGATTTTATTGTCTATACTCCTTGGATCATACAACCTGATGTGTTTTTTCTATGTGGGCTTAGGTGACAGCTCACTTCCTTTGGACTTACACCTTTAAGACCCCAGATGGCTAGTCTTTCTAATAGCCAGGCACCATCTAGTTTCTTCACCACAATTTGCTACAGCACACATATATCCAGTGACCTCGTCATGAGGATGAGCATCAAGTAGGACATGCCTAAGACTCTGCATTTTATGAGAGCAGGGCGCCTCAACTGTCTCCTACAGAGCAGCTGGTGGGCTTGAACTGCCAAACCAATGCTTAGCTCCCTTTACCACCAACACCCCTTCTAAAGTATGTGAATGGAGCATGAAATGAGGAGGTTCACCAGTACTTAATTCAATTGGAGACTATTGTGTACTTTTACCATCTTGTTGCAGCACCCTTGAACTTGAAAGAAACCTCAAGCTGCAGTTCCCCTGTTTAGAAGCTCTGCAAGTGCTCCTTGTAAGTCGAGGCGCCATCCAAACAGGAACCTCAACACTGCTGCCAGCCCAGGGAAAGGCCGGCCGAGACATCGCTACAGCCCAGGCTACTGGTTGCAAAAGCCCCTTCGACGCCAGAAAGACCCCGTGTCCTACCTTTTTAATTTTTTTGATGTCTGGGTCTTCATCTTCTTGGTTGCCTTGGTAAGGTCGCATTCGTTCCTTGGTTTTATTAAGAGCGATAATCTATAACACAAAATTGGCCCATTTCATGATTTGGGAAATAGTGGATTATAGTCCTAAGCCCAAGGGAGTTCCTTCTGCCTGCAAAGGGAGTCGATGGAATGTTCAAGGAACACTCTCTTTGTATGTCTGCTCTCTCACTCTGGTGCTGAGGCAAGAGGACACAGATTTCAGTCCCAGACCAGTGTCACCCAAAGGGGTTTGAAGAAGTGCTTGTGCAAAGTGTAGAGTGGAACTCGGGTTAAGAGACCTATTTGCTCAAAGCTCAGTCTTGACTGCCAGGGGTGATCTAGCCAAGCAAGCCCTCCTCGGTAATTTATCAACCATCTCTCCGGAGGGCCACTGCCAGGAGGCGTGAGATCTCAAGTGCAGCGCTTCAGAAGCTCTTACAGTAGAGTAAACCCGAGTGATAACCACCGAGGGAGGGAAGGACGCGGAGCCCTGGGTGGGCCAAGTCGGCCAGGAGGGTTTCTCAGCAAAGGGACAGAGGACTGAAAGCTGGGATCCCTTCTATAGATCTCCAGCTCGGTTCGCTGACGATGAGGGCTAGCTCAAGACCAGGTGGCCTCTCAACTGCAGGTAGCCATCAATAAGATGTACTGAATCACTCCTCAGTAGCAGCTTTCACAAACATTTCAGAACTGACGCTGGTTTACTCGCATGTAAACACAAATACTTGACAAGCTACGAGATCACCACCACCCTCTCCGGACTCTCATCCCTTTTTAGCTTCCAGAACCAGAGAAACTCCTCTGCCATTTTCTGGTGGGGAAGCGGGACATAACTTCTGGCTTCTGTCAAGAGACCACAGAAGACATACCTGCTGGTGACAGATTTTAGCTGGAATCTATATTCAGACTAAAGCAGAGCACAGTCAAGACAGAACACACATAAATAAATATTGGGGAACATTGCTTGGTCCCGATTTCTCTCAGAGAGTAAATGCCAACCTCTCTCGCCTAGCAGACACGCATCTGCTCTAGCTGACGGTGACAAAAGAGAAGAACACAATAATTTTGTTTTAAATTACAGTGCCTGATATAGGCTTTTAAAAGGCAGGTTTGTTAGGGTTTCAGTTGCTGTTTCTACTGTATCAGATTTCGGGGTCTAATCACAAAGTTAACAACTCTAATGATATGGTGAACACAGCCTGCAATGGGTGATCACAGGAGAAGTTAGTGCATCCCAATGGGTGATGGCTTCATGCGCTGTCCACTGGAGGTGAACCACACAAGGGACAGGAGGTGAGACTCTCGAGACAGAATTCACAGAGAGAGTCTGAGGGGAGAGTGTGGAAGATGTGGGGGGGACCATTCTGTCCAGTGACCACGATGATGACAAGAAGGGTGCCAAGGCTGAGGAGCTTGAGTAGTTTATGCCAGCAAGGATACAATTAACAGTAAGGTTCATTTTGTCCTATTCTTTGAATATAAGGCAATTCAGCTTTGAGAGCAAGAGAAATATCTGCCGTTATATTCCTTTCAATTCTTCAATATTTGGTCCATTTTCGTGAGGAATGACAAAGACAACAAGGAACGGGGCACTCTCCGCCTCCGTCTATAGTCTGAAGCACCCGGAGAGTGGGAGGGTGCCGGACTCCATGACCACCTGCACTTCTCACGTGGTGTCAAGGTCTATGTGGGGACAGAAAGCCTGGGAAGTCCAATCACTGAGGGGAAGGAACCATGGAAAAAGGGCTTGGAATTCCAACTTTAGGAAAAATTCGCCCTTGCCAATATCTTATACTTTAGCCCAATGTGCCATTCAAAATTCTAGAAGGTAGAAAGTCGATTCTTAAGATCCAGTCAGCTAGAAAATGCAGTCTAGAAAATGCGCTCTTTCTGAATGTCCTCTTGGTCCTTCCTTCCTCGACATCTTAGACTGTAATTGGAATTATGACAGACTCACAATTATCATGACTGCAAAGGTCGATCTGAAAACATTAGTAAGGTAAACTCTTGAATTTTGATCTGATCTATGATGGCTATTATCAGATATGTGCATACGCAGCATATTCTCTTGATTTTTCTTTCTGTAACACATTTACCTAATCCTAACATAGATGGATTCATTTCTAGACCAATAGGCCGACCATATATGATGACACAGAAACTCAACTGGGGACTGAAATGCTGCCAAGAATTGGCCTTCGGTGCTCACCTGGAGATGACAATAAACATGAAACAATGTAAGGTCTAAGAAGTACCTCTGATTTAAGCCTTTCAATTTCCGTATCTTGATCTTCAAGTTGATGCCGTAGTTGATTAGCAGCAATTTTCTCAGTTTCCACGATCTGAACTAGATGAATGTACTTCTGCATTAGCACTTCCCTCTCAATCAAAATGTCTGCATAACTTCAAAGAAAATTGCACAGTTAGTCACAAAACAGTGTGCTGCTACAGCTCCATAGGCAACACACACACACACACACACACAGGAGCTACAAAACGTTCATGGAAAAATGGAATTCAAAGTTAATGGAATTTTCCCACAAATGTTTGGAGGCCCTCTCTTAAAATGGAGTTAACTTTGGGCTGTGACTTGGGTAAAGGTTTAGAGAGCAAATCAGCTTTCCACTCAACACATTCCTCCATAGTTGGCTTCGTGCCATTGAAGACGATCCGCACAATGTCACATCACTCATCCCGCTTCCTTCCGGGGTCTCACAGTTCTACTCCTCTTTCCTCACCCTCTCTGCCTTCTCAACTTGGCCCTGGGCAAACACTGTCCCTGCGATCTCGAATGACTGCTTCCTGAAGGAAGTGCTCCCTCCCCCAGTGTGGCTGCTCAGCCTATAGATCCGTCCACGAAAATGTTTTTAAAAGAGGCCATACATATAATTCAACTTACTCTCTCTACCTTCTATAGACATTAACTCTGATCCTGTCACATGTCCTTTCTGACAAGTCCATTTGATGATGCTTGCCACTCACCATTTTATCATATAAATGAGAAAAGTGCAAAGGAAATCTTAATAGCTTTAACAAAGAAAATGGCCCAGCTTCTTTCATAAAGACACTAACACATTTTAAAATTGACAGCACTTTCTTTGTTTCCAGAGATGTTATTCAAAATAGTTCCCAGGGTAAGATATAAATGCTAGCCTGGCGCCAAGCCGAGTGAATGCAGTCACCACGCCGAGCAGGTCCCCGCTGCAGAGCACCATGATGACCATAGTAATGGCCGCCAGTAGGCACAGAGCAGCCCACCACCAGCTCGGCTGGGCTTGCTTTAGGACTGTGAAACCATTGACAACGTTCTTGCTAAGGCCAACGGAAGTGCTGATTGCATTCTAGAGATACGTTTACATTTCTTTGGCAAGCATGGTAAAAACAAACAGATTTTTATTGACTATGCAATTCTCTGGGATCTGGAATTTTGCTGCTAGATCTTATAATATCCAGGGTGGTAAAATGCCAATTCCTCCACTTATCTAAGTTTTTCTACATGATATGCTAATGGTTATACTCAATAGAAAGAAACCAGAAACCAAATCTGTTGGTGTCAAGTCAATTCCTAGCAACTGTATAGGACTGAGAACAACTGTCCCATGGGGTTTCCAAGGCTTGAATCTGCACAGAATCACTGGCACTCCTTTCTCCCATAGAAGAGCTGGTGGGTTTGAACTGTCAACCCTGTGCGTAGCAATGCAATGCCCACCTGACAATTTCACCAGGACTCCTCTTATGCACACCAGGGTTCCTTTATTCCTAAAAAGTTACTACTGATCAATCACATAAGATGGACCCTCTGTTACCTCATTTCATCCTCCCGGCAACCCCAAGAGATAGACTTTATTTTCCCAATTGTAAGAGAAAGAGCCCTCAGGGAGGCACAGTTGGGTCACACAACTAGTGGCAGTGTTGGGATGAAAATTAAACTCTGTCTGACTCCAAGCTAGTGCTTAAGCATAAGCTAAATTGCCTTGCTCCTGAGAATACATGTAATATAAACAGGAATGCTGTAGGAGACATATTTTGAGAGTCACCCAATCTTCTCACATAACCTCATCTACAGAAAGTTGGGCTATTGCATCCACATTTGCACCACAAGTCATTATTTACATCACCATCGCATGAAGCTAGCCTGAAATGAAACTCTCCTAATCTGAATTTAGAGGCATTACTGGCTCACCTTCCTCCTGGGAGACCTGATCCCTGGCCAATGCAGCTCATCTACAGGCACTACCCATCATTCAGTGGGAGCTTTTGTGTTGCTATGATGTTGAACAGATTTCAGCAGCTCTTGCAGAACAAGCTATTTCGGGAATAAAAAGACCTCTTTCTGAAAATCAGCCCACAAAAGTCCTATGGATCACAATGGTCTAAGCCACAACCAATCATGGAGATGATGCAGATCTGGGTAGTATGTCATTCCATGGGGTCCCCAGAAGTCTGGGACCACTAGGATGCAGCTGCCAATAACAACCCAGACTAGAGCAATGAGATTCTTTCTCCTGGTACATTTGGATTGGGCCTGTGACCTATGTACTTGGACCCAGATAATATGGACTTGGAAACTCAGGTTCCATTGAAGGGCAGCTATATTTGGCCACACCCATGCCAAAGCAGCCAGTCTGCTAAGAGAGAAAAGGTCAAGTAGAAGATCAGAAAAGTTGAAGCAAGAGAGATAAGTGATCTGAAACACTGTGGTAATTAATAACTACTGAAGTTATTTGAGGCATTGCCGTCTCTACTTACAGTCTCCTGTAATTCCCGAGTGTAATTTTAACTCTAAAGTTTTATGAGGTACGACAGTTTCCTCCTAATAAAATCTATGAACCAGTTGGGAATAGATCTGTGCTACTTGGAACCAGAAAAGCCTTAAGACAATTCTAAAGTCAGAAATTTAATTCAATTACCTCAGCATCATCAGCACTTATAGCATGTGTGCTACTAGTGCTAAAGGGGGAAAACATGCTGCTGACCTTATTGTTCAGTCACTTGCTCTTGAGTCACCCTACGAGAGGAAAGGTGGTGTGGGGTGTGAGCAAGGAAAGAGGAAGAAGGAGAAAGGAGAGCTGAGTCCTCTTGGAAATAGGCTGTTGTTGAGAAGTTTTAAAGGAGGATCCAATAATAGAGGATAAGATAAATTATCACAATAAAAATCCGACCTTCCCAACTGTAGAATCCATTTTATTAGAAATATGCCAAATTTCTGAGTCATCTGGTATATCACATCAGAGTCATATGCAAAGCAGTTTTATTTTCAATTGGAAGAAGAAAAAGGTCAGCACAGAGCAGGATGCTGGGCTGAGTTTAAGTAGCCTGAGTACTGATGGTGCCTTCCTCCACCTCCCAGGTCCCAGGGAAACCCCAGCAGTGCCATAAAACAAGAAAATATGCCACCAACAGGCCAGGAATTTTAGTAATTCAATGAGAGAAAAACCAAATGAATCAGATTGGTGGGGAAATTAGAGGAGAGGAAACCACAGATACAGATACTTGCATAGGCCTGGTTCTCACGCAGGGTGGCCTGGAGAAGCGCCAAGCTGGAAAATGAACAATTCCGTGAGCAGGAGCATCAAAGGAACGCTTATCAGAGCATTCCTGATAAAAGTGCTTGCAGAGCAAGGAGAGGTTATGCACCTGCCCAAATCAACCAGTAAAAAGCATGGCTGGCAGCACGGACAAGGCCTCAGGTCACAGCCCAAGATTGGCCCTCGGGAGAAAAGGGGTCATCTTCCTAAAGAAGGCTCCAACCAAGGGAGCTGCACTCAGAGAGACTAGAGCTTGGATTTACCCCCAGTGTCCACAGAAGGCATATATATATGTGTGTGTGTGTGTGTGTGTATATATATATATATATATATATAGAGAGAGAGAGAGAGAGAGAGAGGGGGGGGGGTGGGGGTGGAGAAACAGGCCCAGAGCTATCGGGTTGATTAGGAATCATAGTGACTCTATATAACAGGGACATTACTCCATGGGGTTCCTAAGGCTATAAATCTTTATCAAAGTAGGTAGCCTCACCTTTCTCCCCTACAGTGACTAGTGGGTTTGAGCCCTTGAACCACTGACTCTGAGGAAAGTAGCCCAGTGTTTAACCCACTGAGCCACCTGACCTCCTTTGAGAAATAACATGCCTTCGAGAAGGCACACAGAGGAACCAAAATAAGAGAGGGCCCTCCTTAGCAGTAAACTAAGGTGTATTTGGTTTTTCGGTTGTTGTTTTTTAAGGTGTCCTGGTCTTGCAACAGTTAACTGCTTGGCTGTTACTGGACGGTTGGCGGTTCAGACCGACCAGTGCTTTGGCGAGAGAGAGAACTGGTGACCTGCCCCCAAAAAGTTTTCAGTCTATGCGGCAGCTCTCTTGTCACACGGGGTCACCATGAGTCAGGATGAACTCTGTGACATCCAACCAGAACTATTTTCTTTTCAGTGTAACACATTACCACACACTTGACCATTTAAAATGCTGAAATTGCATTTGAAAAACTCAACCTATTTATTATGACAGATTCTGCTAGTCAGGAATCCGGCAGAGTTTAGCCGGGTCCGCTGCTCAGCCTCTCACGGGAGTATAATCAAAGTGACTTCTCATTTGGAGGTTTGAATGGGGAAGAACCTTCTCCAGGTTCATTCGGGTGAGGGGAAAATTCATTTTCTTGGAGCTCCGGTGGCCTGCTTCTTCAAGGTCAAAGCAAATACATGTTTTTTATGTATTAAGTCTGCCCCCACCAGGAGAAAATTCCTTTGGGAGAACTCAAAATCCACTTTGATTTGGGACTGTAATGATAGCTGAAAAAGCGCTTTTCCCTTTGCAGACACCCTAGCTTAAGGAAGCGATGATCCCACGCCTTTGCCGTATTCTAGTGGCTAGCAACAGGTCTGCACCAGGCACGACTCACTGAAGGTCACTTTAGGGTTCATTTGCAACATGTGCTAAACCGTCTCCTGCTGAATGAGCTCTGGGGGGGACTCGCCAGCTTATCTGCCTGCTGTCTACCCGCGCATCTGAAAGCGAAGTCTAGATGCAGTAGAACAAAACCCCTCATTCATAAGGACACAGCGAACACATGCCAACTAGTGATCATAATGTTACCTCAGGGTCTTGCACTTAGAAATAAGGATAACTACACTTCAGAAAAGTCAATTCCAAAAAATTAACAAATAAGACCTTTGGGTCGCATGTAAAATGGCCCCAGTGAGCCAAACCTTCTATATGATCCCCTTCCCTGGGTGCGCATTGGGCATAGCTGACCCCCTTCACGGAAGGGACTAGGGAAAGGCTCTGGGACATCACGTGACGTTTCATATACGAAAAGGCTCCAGCTTCTAGCTTGCTTGCCTTCTCTTAACTGTCTTGCTGCTTCTTCTGGGGGAAGCCAGCTGCCCTGTGGCCCATTCCCCTA